CTGTTGGGAGATCTAGTTTCATTCCTTATTTTATCAGACTGTATATTTACATAGCAAGCCCTCTGCCGGACGATACTGGAAAACTGTATTCGCATCTACCTCTTTTTCTCTATTATCATTACATTAATATTAATTTAAGAAATTCTTAATATGCCCTTGATGGCAAAGTATGCTTCTTTTATGTCTTTTTTCCAGGAATAAGCTATAGCTTCTGGTTTAGTTTGAGTTCTCAATAAAATTTTTGAATACTTTTGCTGTATGATGCTCTGAATAATACCATTGCTTGGGAGGAAAATCCGTATTTAAGTTACCACTAGCAAATAATATTTTAATTAGCAGGTAAGAAGTTCCAGAAAAGAATCTCTATATATGCATTTCAGGAATCTACCAGTCTTCTGAAATTGAGTGTAATGTACAGCATGGTGACTAAAGTCAGTAATATCATCATATGTATTTGGCACTTGTCAAGAGATGAAAGTTAAGTTTACATGGGATGGATGGTAACTAGATTTATTGTGGTGATCACTCTGCAATGTATACAAATATTGAATCTTTATGTTGTACACCTGAAATTAACATCTTATATGTCAATTATACTTTGACAAAAATTCGTAAAAATTGAGAACAAAACCTAGATGCATATGAATGTATGTATTTAAAGAGGAATTTAATAGCTTTTATCAGATTCTCAACAGTTTTGTTTACACAAAATAGTTCCAGACACATGGGCACACTTCCCTCAGGATCTATCATGTCTGCTGAATTGCCTGGTGTCTCCTGAACTGTATTCTACCTCTTCCAAATTATTCTAACTGTAAACAGATTGGAATCTTAAATCCTGACAATGGATGATTATCAAATTCTTAAGTTAGATAATAAGTACATAAGAAAGAAAAGGGGGAAACATTTAAAAGAGAAATATGAGCATACGGGCAGTGGTACCATAATGGCTAAGGCTTTTTTTCCCACTGAACTCTGTTCTGTAAATTCTTTCTTCTAAATAAGAACTTCATAAAATGAATGGTAGAATAATGTTATCAACTTACCAAATTTCTCTAACAATTGGTGTAACCAATGTATTTGTTTTCCCTTACTATTGTTAAAGAGATTAAGAAGATTTAGAATTTATTCCTTTGAAATATTACCATTTTGAAGTATTATATTTGTTAAAAGGTGGATTTCAGAGGTGAATAACAGCAATAAGTGTGCCTATAAGTACTTATGCTCATACACTTTTGTTTCTAGTACTTAATCTACATGATGCTCAGTATTCAGTTGCTTCCAAGTTAGTTTATACTATTTCTATGTGTTATTGAAATGATATAATTTAGTTAAATCTCATTCAAACAAGAAAAAACAAATATGAGTATAAAAGCAACTGTTATTTCTATTAAAAAT